GGTTTTGATTACCGGTGGTTGGGAAAAATGATTGTGGGGGGGGGGGGGGGGGGGGGGGTTGAGGAATCCACAGCAAGGGTTAAGAAAAGGATGATCAATTACAAACAATCATTTACAAGGCACAGAAACGCAAGCCTCAATCTTCTTCAGTTTGTGTCAGAGAGCTCCTGAAGACGCTTTTCCAACTCATCCAATCTAACATCCCAATCATTCTTTATGCACAAAGGCTTCACATTACTGAACTCCACGCTATTCTCTTCTCTCTGGATCCCCCCAGAGACAAAACCCTTTCTCGTCTTATTATTCTTCTTATTATTCTTTTTACCACCACCACCGCTCACTTTGTTTTTCTCGGCAGTTGCTCTTTGCATAGCCCAAAGCACATCGAACCCACTAAGTTCCTTTGCTCTTCGACCTTCCCCTTGCTGTTGTTGGTGTTTCGATGTTGGGGAAGGCAGGTGGCTGGGAGGCTGAGCTTTGGCTGAGAAGGTGAGGGTTTTCACCGATTTGGCGGGTCCTGGGAGGAGAGGGAAGAATGGTCCTGGTTGAACTGGGGACGTCGCCCACCACATGATGTTTTTGGGCGTTATCGATAGATCACGTGTTAATAGGTTTTTGCGAGTCTTTAAACTCCCGAAAATCTGGGCCTATTTCTAGTGGCTAGAGTTTCAGAGATTTTTCAGACCACTTGAAATAATGGTCCTAACAAGTCCAGAACTGGCTGCATCGCCCACAAAACCTACACTTGCACATTTTTGTTTTGTCTTTACATTCAAAAAATATTTTTAATATTAATTTTACTTTTTTAAAATTGTTTTAATAAAATTTTAAATAAAAATATTTTAAAAAATAATCACATTGTAATCTCAAATATTATTATTTAACTGATTCATGTAAGAGTTTGATGAAGTGTCTAAGATTAAAATTATAGTTATGATTATTTTTTAAAATATTTTTTATTTAAAAATATATTAAAATAATTTTTTAATATATTTTTGATATCAACACTTCAAAATAATCTAAAAATATATAAAATTATTAATTTAAAATAAAATAAAATTAAAAAATTAATTTTTTTAAAATATTTTAAAACACAGAGGTAATGCAAAACTTGATCTCCATAGACAAGAGTTTGATGAAGTGTCTAAGATTAAAATTATAGTTATGATTATTTTTTAAAATATTTTTTATTTAAAAATATATTAAAATAATTTTTTAATATATTTTTGATATCAACACTTCAAAATAATCTAAAAATATATAAAATTATTAATTTAAAATAAAATAAAATTAAAAAATTAATTTTTTTAAAATATTTTAAAACACAGAGGTAATGCAAAACTTGATCTCCAAGTGTGTTGCAGGGCAAGAGCGGATCCAAGTTTTGGACTTTGGAATCACAGGTACCCTAAATTGCAGACAGAACACTACAAAATTTCCTTAGTCACATAAATTAATTTTCGGTTCGTCCTGTATTTTCTCCTTCCTGGAATAATCAGATTTGTGCACTAATTAGTGTTTTTGAAAATTCACATCCCATTAAATCAATTTGTCCTAAAAAGTAGTGCAAAAATCTAAAAAATAGTGCAAAATCTTCCACGCGAATTCGCAGCTCATTTACGCTCCTCCTAGGTATCACTATTTTTTTCCCCCTCACATCTAATGCCTTTAGTTTACTACTGTTTTTTACTGACACAATATTTAATATTTTCATATTTTTATGTATGATTGAACATCCTATTTTAACTAGAAACGTCAAATACTATTGCTTAGTTATACACATTTTATATCTTATTTATTTATATAATGCATTTTACTTTTAGGTTGCAGTAGTTTCAAAAAATACGAAACACCATATTGTTGATAACTATTAAAAGATTGTATCATCCACTTATTTACTGTATTTTCTCCCAATTCTTTATATTCTACATATTTTCTTGTCATTTGATAGAATACTTTAAATTATCAACTTTTTATATTGACGTGGGATTTGTGTTAAAAGTCTAAATCCAAGAAAAAATTGAATGTGTCAAATAAGTTTTATAATGAAGTTAGACTTAATTTTTAATTTGACTATTTAATCGGATTATAACAGTACATTTTACAAGTTAATTTCTATAAAAATTAGCTAAGCTAAGGTCATTTTCTTTCTCAAATTAGGTTCAAAAGTTGTTATTAAAGATTTTTTTTTTATTTTCCTTATTTAGTTTAAGAATTCTAATATTAGTTGAATGCTATTAGCCATGCAACTTTCAATAACAATAAGGATTTAGGCTTTGGACTAACATAAATAAATAGAATTGTTCAGTTTATTTTACAAAATAAATTAAACTAATTTTTTTTTCCAGTTTAGAGCTATGATATTTAGAACATAAGGAATAATAACTTTTTTTATTACTATAAGTTGTGTTAATTTATATTAGAGCATGTTGGCCCATTTTGTTAGTACATTGACTTTGTTCATGTCAACATAATTAATTTTAATAAAGGTTTTATTTATTTTCAATATTCATCAAATATTTGATTAATGAATATAGAACAAAGATAAAATTCTTGGGATAAAAATACTTTGCAAAAAATATTATAAAATTGTTTTAATTATAAGATTTCTATTGCTTCAAAGTATCATTACTAAATATTCTTGGTTAATGCTCTATTAAGATTGAATATTAATTAGAGCCGTCAAGACTAATATATATATATATATATATATATATATATATATATATATTAATGTAAAGAAGTAGCTATTTTCACAAGTTGATATATGAGAGATACTTAAAACTAATATGTAGGTGCTTGTCAAATCACATATACATTGAACTAATCCAAATAAAAACTCTATATAGAGAGATAACTCATGTATTTAAAAATACTTATATGACAGTTTTATAAGTGAACTTTAAACTTGATATCACTAAATTATCTTATATAGAGAATGTTATACTTTAATACTGTTATATATTGTCTTAATCAAGGGTAAAAAATAGACAGATATTAAGTGTAACATAAAATATATAAAGGTATTTAAATAATCAATAGATGTCTTTATCATTCTAGGTGAATTAGAAAAAATATTATATATGTTTTCAAATAGTATTGATTGTAAATCTTTGCGTAAGATGGAATGAGATATAAAAAGAGTTTTGAATCTTATTCAAATAATCAATGACTATGATGTTAAGAACAAAAATAATTTGATAAAGTATACACACTCTATGCTATAATGTTTAAATCAAAACATTATTGAAGAATGAATAATAATTACGTTGAGAAATTAATTATTGTAATGTTAAGTCAAACTACCTATGACTTTTTTAATATTTAGGGGATCTTGATAGGTTGCTAGTTATTGTACTTTATCTTCAAATATAAATCAATCAATTATTGAACTGTTAATAAATTAATTTGTTTAATCCTATTTTACTTGGGATTGTGATTTATATTTGGGTCAACTTATTAGAAACCTAATGGGTTACACATGTAAGAACTATTAGTCCAAAATTAAAATAAAATAATTAATTAAGTATGACTTGATTGTAAATAAGTTTTAGAAATTGAGAACTAGAATGTAATTTATATAGAGTTTTAGACCTAGAAAAATCAAGTAGGGATTGGATTGGATAAATTTCTAAAATCATCTTGGAATAATATATGCGATATTATTTAGGGGGTATATATTTGTTATTTATAGGATTTTTAATTTTTTCTATAAATAAAATGTTATGCCTCTTACTTTATGGACAACACATAATTAGTAGTACAGTATGGAAAGTTTGAAAAAACATAAAAGAAAAGAGACAACACTTAAAGACAATCTCTCTCTCCTAAAAGGCTTTTGAAGATTTCTCACTGCTCGTTCGTGAGGATTTACCATTTGAGACTAGATACTTAGATGATTTATAGTTACAACAAATCAGCCCTAAAGCAATCATTGAAAGCTAAAAGAAATATCTAGTTTTTAGGTAATCTTTATATGAACCCTAAACAACTCAAGATTTGTCTAACAAGATCTTAAAACTCTTATTTTTTTAAAAAACAATTATGTTTTTCACTGTGCATATGTGTTTCAAAAAACCCATCATGTTTGATGGATGGAAACATTAACAACATCTTCTCATCTAGTGATGAAGGATTGAAGGCTATCTGGAGCATTGTGAGGGTTAAAGAGTTAGCATAAAAAATCCTATGATAGGGATTTGATTGGTTAGGTCAACTGTTTAGAGACTTATCTCGGGGCAAACCAAACTCCTAATCTATTCTTATAAATCCATATAGGCACCATGAGTATACAAAAGGTGGTGTTTAAAACAGGTGAAGAACTAGAGACTTTACTCGTAACTAATTTTTTTGTAGATACGTTCTTAGTTTTTATGAAATTCCTTTCTTTAATGGGGATTTTCTTAAATAAAAAAATTTATTAGACGGTTGTAAGAGGTGAGAGCATAATCTCAATTAAAGAAAATCCTTTGATATCAAAAGGTAGGATCTACAAAACATAAACTTAATTATAGTGTTGAAGATTAATGGCATGATGTTCTAAAAGATTAAGTTTGTGTTTGCAAGCATGTGATTCTATCATGGCCAACTATAACAAAATTATTAACTTTGGAGTTTGTATAAGATGCCAAGAAAGAAATTTTACACTAAAGTATATAAGGAATTAAATTGTTATTAGTTGCATTCTACTTAACTTTTTCAAATAGCAGTCAATTAACTCATTCGCTAAATAAAAAAGAGAAATAAAAGATAAAAAGGTAGTCGAGGTTAAGATGATTGATGATGTTCTTGTTTTCGATGTTCTATTTAATGATGAGTTTGGAAAAATATTTTATTTTTTATGCAAATACACCTAATGTTTTGGCTTTAATGACAAATGTGGCTAATGTTAAATTAGTTGTTGTCTTTTTCCAAATAAGTGGAAGAGAAAAGATATCACCATTATTAAAGGACTGTCACATGAAAAATCAAAAGATAAAAGAGAGTTGATCTTTTAATATTAATAAAACTAGTTGATTTATTAGAAGTTCTTTCCATTAAAGAATCTTGATGAGTTGTTGAAATTACTTAGAAGGATGAAGTTGATATCAAAGAGGAAAAAAAAAATCTTCTTTTCTTAAAATATTAGGAAAGGCTAATACAAAAAAAAAACAAAAAGAAAGAGGTTAAAAGGATTGATTTGTTTGAAGTGTTAGTGAAAAAATGTTTAGTATCTAAATAGGTTAATTACAATAATATATTTAAAGTATCTTTTCATATGATACAAAAGAGTTCAATTTTAATTGTTAATGTAAGAATGAGTTTTTGAGGAAGCCTGGTATGAGGCATTATCAATGTCCAAGTTCAAGAAAAGGTTCAAATACATCAAATAAGCTTTTCAAAATAAAAAGAACATAACTTTTAATTCAAACATTAGATCGGGTTGAAAGTTTTTCAGCATATTCTATTGGCCTAGTTCTATAGAACATTAGTTGGCTATAATCATATATGGTTATTTTCATGACCAAATTAGGTCCAACAAGTTTTTTAGGTTTCCTTTATTTCTTTTAATTATTTTATTTTCTTATTGAGTTTAGATATCTCAATGCTAGCTGGATTATTTAGCCATGTAACTTTCAGTAAATTTTTTTTTATTAAGATTTAGGTT